CCGGCAGCCATGTAGTGATCAGGGCTGGGGCACCACGGCCTCTGCCTTCCCCGGACACTGGGAGCAGAGCCAGGCCTGGCATACAGCAGCCTGGCCTTCTCTGTTGTGGCCTTGCCCAGATGCTGGGGGCAGGGCTGGGCCTGGTCTCGCTGCAGTCCAGCCTTGCCTGGGGGCAGGGACTCACCCCAGAGAGGAGGCGGTTACGCTGGGGTCAGGGAGATGGCGGCTGCTGTGACCAGGTGCGGGGTGAGAAGGGACCCAGTCTGGCGCAGCCAGAATGGGGGTGGGGGCAGGGAAGGGACCTGAGCTGGTGGGGTAGAAGGAGCGTGGGCATTGGAAGGGCAGGGGAGAAGGAGCCCAGGCTGGTAGAGCCACAACCTGGCCCTCCCTGGTGGACCCGGGGGGGGGGGAAGGAGGAGGAGCTGGGGTTGCGTACCCCCTGCGAGAGGGGAGTTGGTGAGCGTAGCGAGCAGGGGGCACAACCCTCAGTAAAATTAAAATGCTGCATATTAAGATCTTTACCATATAGGCCTAATTAGAACAACATATATGATTCCTTAACACCTGAATTCTTTGGTACCATGTCCAAAATCATATACTCCAATAAAGACCGCTACTGGGTTAAATGTCCCTGGAATCACTTCAGCAGCAGTTCTTTTTATTGACTCATTAAAAACCTGTCTCCTGTGGTTATGAAAATAAGTGTAAGAAGAAAAAAAAAAGCACCACTTTTGGTTACATACAAAAAAAAAAAAAAAATCAGAAACAATCAGGCACGACATCACCTCAACAGAAGTTGGTAAAAAATTCTCAGACTGCAGGCAGTAATATCAGCTCCTCTATCAGGAATTCAAAGACCTTTGATGGAAGCAAGCAGTAGCCAAGGCCTGCTCTTCACAGGAAGAGGAACTTCAGAGCTGTCCCTTTCTGTCTGCAGTATGCCTTTAATTCAGGAGTGGGGAAACTAAGGCACAGGGTCTGAAGCACACAAGATTGACTAGCCAACTCCCGCCTAGGCTCTCGTGTGCAATGGGCATTTGGGGAATTGCTTCAGGGGCCAGGTCAGTGAAGGTTTAAGGGTTTTTTCTCCTTTGCTTCTTACTTTAATTGATATACAGTTTACTCTTTCCTCATCCAAAGCAACTTTATGGACACAGGAAGCAGTACACAACCACCAGTCATTTCTGTCTGTTTTTTTCCTCTGCTATGACCAGGCTAGTTATGTTCCTTGCATACAACATCCCACCATCTACCTAGTGGTCAGATTGTAAATCAAACTGACTGTGGTTGTCTTTGTATTATATTATTTAATATCCTATTCTTGTTTGTCTTGTACAAGCGCCTCACTTCACCATGATGCTATTTATTTATACCTCACCTGGTAGACCTGCTAGTAAGCCTAACAGAACTCTAATTCAGGTCCCTATGTTTTAAAGTTCATATAATAGGATGTAGGTGGCACTATATGTTTACTCTCAGACATACTCTTCCAGTAGAAAATCATTACCTCATCGCTAGGCAATCAGTGCCAGCATTGCCAAACCATCTGAAGCTTATTTAGCTAAGAGCATCCCGAGCACCTCTTGGAACTTAGTGGAGCCATCTCCTTAGTTGGCAAATGTATCTCATATTCCTCTAAGTGCAGATGGAGGATCATTCTCAGTAGAAAAGGAACAACAAATGTCCCACTGGACAGACACAGTATTTGAACATTCCTGTTCTCAGTAGGAACATGAAGGAGTAACTAGGGTGGCCAGATGGTTTCAACAAAAGTACCAGACACACTTGACATTACATTACAATCTACATTACATCTTAGTTAGAAAATACCAGACATTTCTATTTTCTCATTTTGTTTCCCAAACAGAAAGCTCAAATACTGGACAGTCTGATTGAAAACTGGACACCCAGCAACCCTAGGAGATAAAATGGTGTCCCTGGCCTCTGTCTGTCAGAGGCTGGAGCGGGATGGCAGGAGACAAATCGCTTGATCATTGTCTTCGGTCCCCCCTCTCTGGGGAACCTGGTGCTGGTCACTGTTGGGGCTGGATGGACCTTTGGTCTGACCCAGTGCGGCCGTTCTTGTGCTCTAACCGGCTAACAGGGGAAGCAGGAACAGGGCTGGCCCATTGCAGGCAGGGGCTGCTCTGGCCAGGCTGCAGAGCCCCCCCCGCCCCAGCCTGTCTCCCATGTAATCCAATGAAACAGGAGCGCATCGCCAGATGGAAACCAAGCAGGCTCATGTCGCAGGCCCGCGCTGGGCAGCTGCCCCGCAGTGACCAGGGCTGCAGCCTGCACGTCGCCCCCCCTGTCCACACACACCGGGGGGGGGGGGCTGGGGAAGTCCCACTTTAGCCTCATGGGAGGATCCTGACGGTCAGTGGCGAAGGTGACCCCGGAGCGAGCCTCAGGGCGGGAGCTGCCCGAGTCCGTGTCCGCAGCCCCGGGGGCTGATTTGGGCAGCAGCCTCGGCGGGTAACTCCCCTGCATCAGACGCCTCGGCCAGGCGCGCCCCCCTCGGGGCCCTTCCCCACGGGGGCCCCACCCCGGCTTGGAGGGGGAGCGGGGGTCAGAGCCAGGACACGCTGCGGCCGCGCCCCCAGGCCCCGCCGGCCAGGAGTCCGCGCGGCCCCAGCCCGGGAGAGACTCCCCCTCGGCCCCGGCCAGCGCCTTCCTGGGAGCGCCCGCTACTCACCCCGATCGCCTCAGGCCGCGCACGGGCGACCCTGCCTCGCCTCGCCAACCCACCGGCGCGCGCTCAACCGCAACTGTGTCGCGCGGACCGCCTCGCCTTCGGATTTGAATCTGGCCAATGAACAGCGAGCTGGGGAGGGGCCTTCTCTGCCATTGGCCCCGCTTCCGCAACGGGCACGCTGAAGCTGAGCGGGACGCCATCTTTGTTCAGGGCCAGGCTTCCCAACCCGGAGGGGTGCTGGGGCGTGTAGGTCCCATGTGGCAGTGTAAGTCAACAGTGTGCCCTTGTAGCCAAGAAGGCGAATGGCATATTAGGTTGCATTAGGAGGAGCATTGCCAGCAGATCCAGAGATGTCATTATTCCCCTTTATTCGGCTTTGGTGAGGCCACATCTGGAATATTGTGTCCTGTTCTGGGCCTCCCACTACAAAAAGGATGCGGACTCATTGGAGAGGGTCCAGCGGAGGGCAACGAAAATGATTGGGGGTTGGAGCATATGACTTATGAGGCGAGGCTGAGAAATTTGGGTCTGTTTATTCTGCAGAAGCGAAGAGTGAGGGGGGTTTAATAGCAGGCTTCAATTTTCCTTAAGGGAGGTTCCAAAGAGGATAGAGAGAGGCTGTTCTCAGTAGTGATGGATGGCAGAACAAGGAGCAATGGTCTCAAGTTGCGGTGGGAGAGGTCCGGGCTGGATATTAGGAAAAACTATTTCACTAGGAGGGTAGTGAAGCACTGGAATGGGTTACCTGGCTCCATTGACAGCTTTGAGGAGCAGTAGGAGCAGTCCCTGTCCGGTTCCCTTGTTTTAAACGTGTGACCCACACCACCTGACCCTGTTTTGTCATTATTTGTCCCCCGGAATTAGTTGGACCCTGGGTCTAGTCGTCCCTCCTGCAAGGCTGGGGGAAGGGCTTTGAGAAGTGCCGCCCCTCCCCCCCACGGTTTTCAAATAGTGCCTGGGTGCCAAGATGCTTAGGGTATGTCTACTCTAGCCCCCTAGTTCAAATTAGGGAGGCTAATGTAGGCATTCGAAATTGCAAATGAAGCCCGGGATTTACACCTTGCTCCCTGCGCCTCAGTTCTCCATCTGTAAAGTGCGCCGAATAACTTGGCCAACTTAGGGCCAGCCAGACCGCTCTCCCATAGTGAGATCTGGAAACGTGGTCTCCTATCCAGATGAGCTGGCTCTTCCCTTTTATACCCTCGCTCCAAGCCCAGAGCAGCTCCTTTACCCCTTCCTGCCCATGGTGGGTTTCCACACATCCCCCTCCCCCGCATACTTCAGGGCTGGGACCTTCACTAATGATGCATGTGTGGAATGCATCAGAACAGGGCCCTCCAGCTTCTTCTTCAATACACATAATTAATAGGAAGAAACAATTTTATCTTCTAGTGTCAAACGCCATGCCTGCAATTGTGCCCAAGAGACAGGCCCCGGAGGTCGATTTTTGTGGGGTGAATGAATATTACTACATCGTCCGCTCTGACCTAGGCTGCTACATGAGGTCAACCAATTTCAAGGAAGGCAAAGATCTGACTGTGTGTGGCCTGCACCCCTCCTGCCAGGGCGGGGAGTACCATCTGGCCCACAAGAACAACCTCTTCTACATCAAAGGTGGGGCTTTTCACCATGGCTACGTCTAGACTGGCATGATTTTCCGGAAATGCTTTTAACAGAAAAGTTTTCCGTTAAAAGCATTTTCGGAACAGAGCATCTAGATTGGCAGGACGCTTTTCTGCAAAAGCACTTTTTGCGGAAAAGCGTCTGTGCCAATCTAGACGCACTGTTCCGCAAAAAAGCCCCGATCGCCATTTTCGCGATCAGGGCTTTTTTGCGGAAAACAAATCTGGGCTGTCTACACTGGCCCTTTTGCCCGAACGGGAGCAGCATAGTATTTCTGCAAAAACACTGACAACCTTACATGAGATCATCAGTGCTTTTGCGGAAATTTAAGGCGCCAGTGTAGACAGCTGGCAAGTTTTTCCAGAAAAGCGGCTGATTTTCCAGAAAAACTGGACAGTCTAGACACAGCCCATGTGTCGAACATGAGAACCGGATACACGTGCCATGGTCTACAATCTCCACCCCAACTGCCAGCAAGGACACTGTTCTCTCTTGGCCTTTGGCACTTCTACATCATTTGTAGCAAGGGAGTCTACCGCAAGGTCACCGACGTGAACACCAATTCCGATGCCATCAAATACACCCTCCACTCATCCTGCAGAGACGGCCTCTATTACTGGGGTATCAAGGACTATTATTACTTTGTGAAGCCCCACAATGAATGGGGCATCCAGTACTTCTGAACCACCAATTTCCACAAAAACATAGATGCCATCACTTATTCCTTCCACCCTGATGTGGTCAACTTCCTTCCAGGAGGGTTGGCTCTGACCAAGGGTCCAGTGTTTGGCACCTGGGAGGCCATCAGGACCATCTCCAGCAATACCAACACGCCCATCACCTGGAACAAGATCACCAGGCAGGTGGGCTATGCCAAGGAGAAGATGAGAAGCATGGAGCACAACTGGAATGTGAGCATCTCGGCATCCTCCCAGGCTGGAGCCCTCACCAAAGCCATTGCTAAGTAACAGTTCTCCCTCACCACTGATTATGGAGGAAGTAGCATCAACACGGAGCAGGAGAACTGAAGCGAGGCCACGGAAGTGGAGAAGTCTGTCAACCTGACCCTGCAGCCGAATGAGAAGATCTACATATGGCAGTACCAGCTGGGCCTGGGACAGCAAAGCATCTTGTTCTGCTGCGACATGATATTCAACAATCCCAACCCACCTACCAACGTCCCCTTGTTGCCTTCTAAGGAGTGATCTGAAAGGGGGAGCCCCTCAGGAGTACTTAAGGGCCTACATGATTATTTAGGGTTAGTACTTTAGTGTAGACATAGAGGATCCTTGCATGGTGGCCTTCCGGGCAACAGGTTGACAATGGGTTTGCACTTGCCTGGCTGGCAAAGCATTTCCCGGCCCACGGTGTTTTCTTATTCTTTGACTAGCAGCATGAAAGCTGCGCTGCCGAGCTATGCTGAGCGCACACTTACTTCTGGGGCAATTTCACGCCAAAACATGAAACATTCTGCCCACCCCCAATATAAAAAATTCTGCACAGGATATTTTGCAATTTGGCACCTATTGTATTTGCCAGCTAACATTCTATAATCACACCGGTTTCAATTCTTTGGGTAATTTATGTCAAAATACCTGTAACAATACAGACACAAAACTCTCTCTCCCCACCTCCCCAGGAGTACAGAGTGAATCTCTTGTTTCTCTACCCTTTCTCTGGCAGAGCCCAGCAGAGGGGTCAGACACCCACACCCCTAACCCCAGAGCCCATCTTCCAAAACCCACACCCAGACACTCACCCCTCCACACCACCATGCAGCAGCAGGGGCAGCAAGTTCTATGGGTTCATGGTGCCTGGGCTCCAGGAATATTCCTGGAGCTGGGGCCCTGCTCCAGCAAAGTCTCTCCCAAGGCATCACCTATCCCCCCTCCCATGTGTCCCTCAGTGCTTCCCACCAACCCTGGGCAATTTAAAAGGGCCTGGGCCCCCAGCCGCCATCACTGGCAGTGCAGTGGGACTCCAGGGGCTTCCCACTTACTCCATGTGGCTGCCAGCAGATACCTATGAATCTGGGGAAGTTGGATTTTGGGGACATGGCTACTAGTAAAAACCCTCCCCTGTGAAAACCAACTTGGCTAATTCTTTTGCAATAACGGATTGATACTTTCATCTCTGAATTAGCCAAGAATTCTTCTGAAAGAACTGGGCCTGTTTAGTTTAGAAAAGAGAAGACTGCGAGGGGACATGAGAGCAGTTTTCTAGTATTTAAAAGGATGTTACAAGGAGGAGGGAAAAAAATTGTTTTCCTTGGCCTCTGAGGATAGGACAAGAAGCAATGGGCTTAAACTGCAGCAAGGGAGGTTTAAGTTGGACATTATGAAAAACTTCCTGTCTGGGTGGTGAATAAGTTGCCTAGGGAGGTTATGGAATCTCCATCAGTGGAGATATTGACAAGCAGGTTGGATAGACACCTGTCAGGGATGATCTAGACAGTGCTTGACCCTGCCGTGAGGGCAGGGGACTGGACTTGTGCCTTCCAGTTCTAGGGCCTATTGGTTGGGGGGTCCAAGGCTGAGAGTGACGGGCAAGGACCCTGTAAGCGAGTAGCAGGGACAGAGCTTCCCTGTGCTGCCATCACAAGCCACTTCCTCTCCCCTGCCAGGCAGAGCCCGCCGGACAGCTGAGGCTTGCCTTCATCCAGCCCACGAGACTCTGGGCTTCCCCTCCCTGCAGCAGGGAGCCGGTGTCGGTGCTCCAGCCACATGGGGAAGCCAAGGCTCAGAAACACATTGACTGGCTGGAGCACCAGCACCGGCTTGCCCACAGCAGGCGGGGGAGGGAAGGGAAGAGTTCACAGGCTGGATTTAGGCTAGCCCCTCCAGCCTGCGGGCTGTAGGTTCCCCGTCCCTGCTAATGCTCGCAAAAGGTGCTCTATAAATTGGACAAACCTAGCTGGCCCTGCAGGTTGGGCTACCCAGTATGAAGAGCAGAGGGCACCAGAGTGCTGTGCTGAAACACCCTCAGGTGGACACCGCAGGTGTGAACTAGAGTTGCCAACTCTCCAGGATTAGCCCGGAGTCTCTTGGGGTACGTCTACACTGGACAGTTATTTTGGAATAAGCTATTCTGGAACAGTTATTCTTAAATAGCTTATTTCAAAATAGCACATCTACAATGCAGTGAAGCTTCAAAATTAGCTCCAGGCAGGCTTCCCTAATGTAGACATGCTATCTTGATTTAGAGCCCCAAGAGGAATAACTTAGAATGGCCCTGGTGAGGGGCTATTTCGAAATAGCAGCAGTGGAGTGTCTACACATGCCTTATTTCAAAATAGCTATTTCTGAATAGGCGTTAGTCTCTGTAGAATGATGCTTACAGAAGTCGGAATAAGCCATCCGTTATTTCGAAATTATTTCGTAATAACAGAATTTCTGTATAGATGCTCACATAGTTATTTTGGAATAACAGCTGTTATTCCAAAAAAACTTTGCTGTGCAGATGCACCCT